GGGAGTCGGACTTCGGTATCCCTAGCATAGGGACCAAGACGATGTACCTGGCATTCTACCAACAACATTGGGGCGTCAATAATTGGTCTAGGATCTGAGCCCATGTTGTAGAACATCGTAGCTATAGTCTCCTTAGGAGGTTGTTTTGGTTCATATAAACCCAAGAGAATATTACGGTTCTAAGGGGGGGGGGTACCGGTACAGGCACTACAAGGGGATAGCAATGTAAGCACGTGATTGAGCAACCCCAAATTGGGAAGGGTGGGGGTTTTAGGGTTTGGGTTCCAGTTGGAAGGAGAGTCCGTGCTTACGGGTGGTTGTCAATATTAGGGTCCCTTTTTGGATCCTTATCATAATACGGCACCTTATTATAATACGGCACCTTATTTAGGATACCCCAAAAGGGACCATGATTTTGACAACCACCCGCATGAAGCATGTCGGTTGTGACGAAGAGTTGGTCCCAGGAAAGCCTCGACAGACTGTAAAGCAGACTATACCTGAATGCTTGCTCCAAGTACAACAAGGCCATTTGTTGCGTGTAATCCCGACATCCCTCACCTTCCAAGCCAAAATCTGCAGAGAAAGCCAAAGAAAGCGTAGAAAGCCACATCGACATGGTCAGACACAGCAAGAAGTACAGGGCTTGGCTCTAAAACTCTAGGATTTCGGTGATTCGGTTTAATAACAGTCAAGGACCATGACAGGGTCGGACCGCTGTGTGGTCACAAGCTGCGCATCCAAGAAGGTTTTGATACAGGGGCCTTAATAATTACCTATACTGTTTTGGGGGGTCCTTATTCTAATTCTGGTATATTGGGCCCCACAACCCTAGTCTAATTATTAAGGCCTCTATATTAAGGCCAGGATTCCCCACCAGTCTTTTCCCAAGCCCCATCTACGAACTCCTCTACACCCTATGTCGTGCTTTTTCATGTTGCTCTGACATGTGTAAGGGGAATCGCAAGCGTCTCCTGTGTACGCTTTTGCTGGGTGTCACAACGAAACGTAAGCACCGAACCCTAAGCACCGCTTCCATCGAATTGACCAAAAAGCCCACAAGAAACAACTATGAACGCTCCTCCATCCTGAACCGTCACAATCAGATAGTTCTTAAGGCCCCAACTGAGCCCTCCGCGCCACTTGTATAGAAGTTGTTTGAAGACGCCATAAAATACCATAAAATACCATAGAAGACCATAAAGTACCATAAAATACCATAAAATCCCTGCAGCCTCGGAGCCCCTCTTTTCCTCCAGCTGGGCAGAAGACTCATAAAACCCACATACCTCGCAAAACCCCATGAAGATCCCTTCGGCAACCTCTTCAACCCTTAACCATGAACCCTAAACCCTGAACCCTAAACCCTAAAGCCCAAACCGTATCCTGAAAGCAAGAAGCCCTTACTTCGTCCCTACCCCAGCCAGCTTTCCTTAAACCTTAAGCCCCATAAATCCCTAAACCTCGAACCCCAAACCATAGTTCCCAAACCCCAATCCCGAAACCCGTAGAAGGTGGCCCAAACCCCAATCCCTAAACCCTAAACCCTGCGAGCGCTTCTATGGCGCTGCTCTCGCGTTTCTACGACCTGGCGTGCATGCCGAAGGCGTCCGCGGCCGGGCGGCATCGTGCCAGGCCTGGGTGACCAGGAACCCCAAGTCCGAACAATAAGTCCTGTCCTGTACCGTGGTCCTTATCGTAACCTTAGAGTTTGGGGTTTATGGGGTTTAGCGTTTGGGGTTGAGGGTTTAGGATTCAGGATTTAGGGTCTAAGGTTTAGGGGAGTGGGGAGTGGTAAGTATCATTTTAATTGCTACCCACGAAAGTAACGGCAGTAACAACAGCAGTAGGAGTAGTAGCAGTATTTTAGTAGTAGTCGTAGTAGTAGTAGTAGTAGTAGCAGTAGTAGTAGTAGTAGTAGAAGTAGGAGTAGGAGTAGGAGTAGGAGTAGGAGTAGGAGTAGGAGAAGGAGTAGGAGTAGGAGTAGGAGTAGGAGTAGGAGTAGGAGTAGGAGTAGGAGTCGGAGTCGGAGTCGGAGTAGGAGTAGCAGTAGTCGTAGCAGCAGCAGTAGTAGCCGCAGTAGTAGCATTAGTCTTATTATTAGTGGTAGTAGTAGTAGTAGTAGTAGTAGTAGTAGTAGTAGTAGCCGCAGTAGTAGCATTAGTCTTATTATTAGTGGTAGTAGTAGTAGTAGCAGCAGCAGCAGCAGTAGTAGCAGTAGCAGTAGTAGTAGCAGTAGTAGCAGTAGGTAGTAGTAGGTAGTGGTAGTGGTAGTGGTAGTGGTAGTGGTAGTGGTAGTAGTGGTAGTGGTAGTGGTAGTGGTAGTGGTAGTGGTAGTGGTAGTGGTAGTGGTAGTGGTAGTGGTAGTGGTAGTGGTAGTGGTAGTGGTAGTGGTAGTGGTAGTGGTAGTGGTAGTGGTAGTGGTAGTGGTAGTGGTAGTGGTAGTGGTAGTGGTAGTGGTAGTGGTGTGGTAGTGGTAGTGGTAGTGGTAGTAGTAGTAGTAGTAGTAGTAGTAGTGTAGTAGTAGTAGTAGTAGTAGTGGTAGTGGTAGTGGTAGTGTAGTAGTGGTAGTGGTAGTGGTAGTGGTAGTGGTAGTGGTAGTGGTAGTGGTCGTGGTAGTGGGTAGTGGTAGTAGTGGCCAGTGGCAGTGGCAGTGGCAGTTGCAGTGGCAGTGGCAGTGGCAGTGGCAGTGGCAGTGGCAGTGGCAGTGGCAGTGGCAGTGGCAGTGGTAGTGGTAGTGGTAGTGGTAGTGGTAGTGGTAGTGGTGGTGGTAGTAGTAGTAGTAGTGGCAGCAGTAGCAGCAGTAGCAGCCGCAGTAGCAGCAGGACTAGCACCAGCAGCAGTAGTAGCATTAGCATTACTATTACTATTATTATTATTGTTATTATTATTAGTAGTAGTAGTAGTAGTAGTAGTAGTAGTAGTAGCAGTAGTAGCAGCAGTAGTGGTAGTAGCAGTAGTAGTAGTAGTAGTAGTAGAAGTAGTAGTAGTAGTAGTAGTAGTAGTAGTAGTAGTAGTAGCAGCAGCAGCAGCAGTAGCAGTAGTAGTCGTAGCAGCAGTAGTAGTAGTAGTAGTAGTAGTAGTAGTAGCAGCGGCAGCAGCAGCAGTAGCAGCCGGACTAGCACTAGCAGCAGTAGTAGTAGTAGTAGTAGTAGTAGTAGTAGTAGTAGTAGTAGTAGTAGTAGTAGTAGTATGATTATTATTAGTTGAAGTGGCAGGAGCAGTCGCACTGGTAGTCACAGTACTACTAACCATGTTTCCATAAGAATTGTATGAAAGCAATATCAGAAATCATGCCAGGGCTATTGGTACAGGGTTGAGGGTTTCGGGTCCAGGGCTGCTTGGTATAGTGGGGCGTTAGACTAGGTGAGGCTGAAGCATAGACCCGGACCTTCACAGGGGAGTTCTCTACATTCGAGTCCCTTTCAGGGTAGGGACCTGATCCAGAGAGCCACCCAGATGCTTTCGTTTTTGTACTTTCTTGCGGTCACGGAGGCTGGCTATATGGGTGATCACCGTGCTCGTGCCGCCAGTCATGATTGGAACTATGGGGGCTTTAATAATTATCCTGCAGTCGTCAGCGTTTCTGTAGTCATATGCACCCAAACCCCATTCTACTTATTATTCACGTCGCAATTCAACGTTCACTTACTTCAGTGTCTGAACTTGTGCACGGGCCACGCTCTCTTCCTACCAACAGAAGTCTTCAATTTGCCCTTAAGCCCTAGACCAGCCTTATCCTCGGCCCTAAAGCCCCTACCAAAGGGGTAGTTGTCAAAATCATGGCCTCTTTTTGGGTACCCTAAAATAATAGGTGCCGTATCAGAACAAGGACCCGAAAAGGGACCCTAATATTGACAACCACCCATATATGCCTAAACAAATGCCAGCATTGTTCCTGAGGGTTCCTTCTTGTATTTAGACCAAAAAAGAAACCCGAAACCCTGTTCCAAATGTTGAGGCCCTCTTCTGAAGGAACCCTTCTTAAGGCATCCGCTAATTATCCGCTAATGGTTACGCCCCAAGCCGCAGACCCTAAACTTTTGAGCCTCAAAGCCCTAAACCCGAAACCTCATAGCCCCAAAGGTCCTAGACCCTAAACCTGATAGCCCTAAACTGACCTTTGGTTAGTAGGGAATGGAGGACTTATAACTACTATTACTACCATTCTTCCATTCCCTGCAAACCAAAGGTACGTATTCCTATTATGATTATAGTAGCCTTATTATAGATCCCTTACAGTAACCCCTATCGAACCCCAAAACCAGAGGCCTGAGGCCCTCAACATCCCTAAACCAAAGGTAAGTAAAGGCCTCCCTAAACCCTAAACCCTAATCCCTAAACCTCCCACAACTGTGGGTTTCGTCGACCTTAACTGCTAGACGGAAAAAGGCGTTCAAAAAAAAACAACTCCCTTATAGTACCCTTATAGATCCCATATAGTAACCCTTATAGACCCTATGATAGCCTCAGGCCCTCAACATCCCTAAACCGCAAGCCTTTTTGAGCAGAAGAGACGAGCGAGGCTGTTGGTGCAGGATGCCCTGAAGGTCGGTGTGCACATAACGACGATGGTCCGACGCTGGGTTCGTGTTGCGGGTTTAAGGGGGTTTAGGTTTTCAAGGGTGGAGGGCTTGCAGGGTTCTTGGGTTTAAGGGTGTGAGGGTTGAGGGAGTTTAGTATCTGGATTTAGGGTTTAGGGTTTGGTGTTTCTTTCTGCTGAGGGTTTGGGATGAGGGCTTTAGGGTTTTGTTCTCTGGTCTTTTTTTATCGCCGTCAGCCCCCAGTCAGCCTTTCTACGGAGGCCGCCTATTTCCTGGTAAGTAGTACTGTAGAGAAACACACGAAGTACTTGGGCCTGCCTTTTCAGTGAATCGCATGACATTTCTTAATCCCATTCTTTGTTATAGATTCGTTCTTGTGGTAGCCGTAAACCCTAAACCCTACACCCTAAACCCTAACCGTTCCTTGTCAGAAGCCCAGGACTTGTCAATCTGGTGATGCTCCCAGTCGCCCTATACTTGGGTTGGCACTGCCGGTTCCAGCTGGAAACCGGGCTGTTGTGGAGGAGCTTTCTTTAAGTTACCATCGGTTTAGAGTTTAGGATTTAGGGTTTAGGGTTTAGGAAGCCTTAGATCCTTCATAAGAGCCGAGGAAAGCAACATCCCTTTCTTCTGGCACGATGCCCACGCAAGCAACTTGCTTCTGCGCCTTGGACATATCCAGACCTCGACCCTCAACTCTCAATGAGTTTAGGGTTTAGGGTTTAGGGTAGTTTTGGAACAGCGAGTCTTCGGGTCTCTATTCAAGATCCTGAGACTTAACCCTTCAACCCTATCTGCATCCTTCCTGTCCGTGTGACCGGGCTGGATGCTTCCTGAAGGAATGCCATGTTCTACGTGATCGTTTTATTCTATCTGTTTCCATTGCTTCTGCATGGATCCGCGCAGCAACTCGTTGAGACCTTGCTTCTGAATGTTGCTGGATACTTTACCGTTTACCTGCCGCTCATGGACAATATCTTCCTGCCCACGATCTTGATCACCGTCTACGCAGTCATCGCATCAGCTTTGATTGTAATGTCTGGGGTGCAACTCACGGCAGGAGCCTACACGCTGTTGAGCAAGCTTTCCATTAGCACACCCTTGCCGTACTCCGACTGGGGTTATCACGATTGGTATGTAGGGCCCCCAGAAGAAGCACACTAGCAAATATCAGGTATATCCCATATAGACCACCTTCTAATGAAGCCTGCCAGGCAAGGATCTCCCTGTCAAGCGCTTATGCTTATGTCCTGCCGGGTCCCCTATAAATAGTAGTATGGTCCTTGAATGGGTCTATAATGGGGTACTATAAGGGTGATCATGATGAGGGTCTAATCTAGCGACCCTTAATTTTTAGACTAGGGTTCTTGCAAGGTTTTTCAGGGGATGCTTCAACGGGTTCTAGACGGGTGAAAAACGCCGATGTTAGAGTGTAGTATACTAGGACATTAAAAATCAGAATAGAAATTGGGGGCTGGAACACCCTTAAATGTGCTAGATACTAGATCCTAATCCCTGCTACGGCAACCGGAGGCTCACAGACCCGCTGGCATAAATCCTAAGCCCGAGACACTAAAAACCCGAAACCGAAGTCCTAAGCTCCAAAAACTTAAAAAAAACTAAATCCAAACAGCACATCCTAAACCACCAACCCCTAAACCCTAGTCCAGGAATGAGACAGCAGCTGCTCGTCCAGCCCTTCTATGCAGCCCTGACTCGCTATGTCGTCTTCAAGCTCGACTGGGCAACGCCTCTCCAAAGGATGCTTGAGGACGGCGGCCGAGGGCAATTTTCGGTTTTTGAAGTTTAAGGTCGAGGTTGCTGGTTTACCGGTTTGGATTTTAGAGTGGTCGATTGAGGTGTTGGGGTGTAGGGCCGCACCTAGAGCCACGAGGACTAGGACGACAACCACCACCACGACTCGGAGACCACACTCCCATTCGACCCACAAAGAGACCGTCACGAAAGCATCCAGAAACAACCAGGAGACCATCAGGGGAACACTGGCAGACGCCCAGCAGACCTGCAGGGGCACACCTGGCGACCACCAGCAGCCCAGGAGACCACCACCCGAGACGACCGGGACGACCAGAACGACAAGGATCGACGACGACCAGCACCACCAGGAGACAGCTAAGGGACCAGGAGACCACCAACAAGCCAAAGAGACCACCAGGAGACCACCCGCGACGAGACAGACCAGCACAACTGCGACGACCAGGACGACCACGACCAAGACAACACCGGGAGAACATCAACCAGGAGACCTCAGGAGACCTCAGCAGACGAGCACGACCACCGGAACGAGCACAGGACGACAACCACCACGGTGACCTTGAGGAAGGACCAGCAGGAAACCACCAAGAGACCAAAGGGAGAGCATCGGACAGCATCCGGGAACACAAGGAGATCATCAGGAGACCATCAAGAGAACACCAGGAGATCAGCATAAGACCAGTACGAAGCATGGCAGGAGTGCTTCGCCCAAATAGTGGCGGATATGGACCACGGCGAAAGTGTTTTTCCACAAGTACTGGCGGGATTCGAGACCACAGCACTCATGCTGGAGTTCTCAATAACAACCCCATGTTTCGACTGTATGGGTGTTCGGCCTTTGTCCCATCTGCGCCTTAAACCTGAACCCGGAAACGCAGGAGCACAACCCTGCTTGATGGATGTACCAAGGCCCCGTAACCTTAATACTCAGCGCCCCCTTCTGGTTTTTTTCAGGCTAGCCCGCGGCGGCGGAGAGAGTCATCCAGCCTCCCTCAGTTTGAAGCGTTGATCGACATCGCTGGCCGTCGAGAAGGGCGTCAGAGCTTGCGCAAGGTTTCTCAGACGTGTTTGACAGGTTTAGGGTTTGCATTTAGTTATGTGGTTCGCGTTCGCGGTTTCATTATGGCTAATCCCTGTGTAGGCCCGCATTCTGTGAATGTGTCGCAAAACTGGACGAGCAAGGTCTTGTGCATGTACAGGCTCAGGCAGGACAAGAAGGAAGCGCTCATCGCGCAGTTCATCTGGATGTACCATGCTATGACCATCTGGCAACTGCCTCGATTCGCACTCCAGGACATCCTCCTTCAGCCGTAAGCTAAAGCCTAAAAGCCCTAAACCACCTCATAAAAGGAACCCAAAGCTGTGCTGCTGCAAACATCTGCAACCCGTCTAGAATCATGGTAGGACCTTCCGAGATCCGCTGCTGCCACATAATATGGAACAGGGTTTAAGGGTTTAGGGTTTAGGGTTTAGGGTTTAGGGTCTTGGTTCGAGGCTTAAACCTTGTAATCCCTAAAACCCACTCTCTTGTAAACCCAAAGCCCTAAACCCAAAATCCTAAACCATGCTCAATCCAAGCTCTAGACCCCGGGGTCAAGCCCAAAGCCCCAAATACTGGGGTCGGAATACCTAGTTTTGTTTATCCCCCTAGAGTGCTTCTCCGATTCTAAGATCTACCAGTTTCACCAAAAACCTTTTTCTGGCCATTGAGACGCTTATATTATACAGTTATAGAGCCCATTTGCTATTCCTCATGGAAAGCCAGAACCTTTCATGGCACCCATGTCTATGGAACCCTATTAGAAGCACTGCGACTCTTATATGGGAGTTTCCGAAAATAGGGGACCCTAATATTATACCCTAAATAGTAGGATCCTTACTATAAGGACCCCCACATAAGGTACCCCCTCTTTTCGGAAACTCCCATATTAACCCCACAGGCCATTTTTGATTTTCAACTCTCAGCCCTCAGCCCGATGTTATACTCAGTATACCCAGACCCCCGGGAGGATCTAGATCCCTTTAAAGGAACCCTTAAAGGAACCCTGGATATTCCTTAACTAAGGGATATGGGAGTCCTTGGGTATATGACTATGGATCTAGAAAGTAGATCCCCTAATGTGGGGCTCTATACTACTAAGGGCACTTTATAGGAACCCCCATGAAGGGATCTACGTTTTGGATAGGGTCCGTTTAATGCGAGTGCCGCCTTCCCACAAAACCCTTTCAAGCACCAGCACCCAAACCGCCAATTAAACCCTGCATCCTAAACCCGAAACCGTCGCTCTTGTGCCCGAAGCATCAAACCCACATGCAAGAACTAGTCCTTGATCCCTCGGCCCTTAACCCCAAGCTAAATCTTGAACCCTATATTTTTTCAAGCATATTGACATCCTACATTCTATGAAGTCTATTATGCCCACAGGCCATCTTTGAGTTTCTCGATTCTGCGGACGGCGCCTTCCCAGCCTATCCTGAACCGATCGGCTCACCCACGGTTGTTTCGAGCATCGGAGGTGTCTGTGAGCGCGGGTGTGCTTGTGTATGTGTGTGTGTGTGTTTAATGAGGGTTTAGGGCTTTTGGTTTTAGGGTTTAGGGCTTAGGGCTTCCAGTTTGAGAGTTTAGGGTTTCGGGCTTATGGTTTTAGGGTTCAAACCCTAAACCCTAAACCCTAAACCCTAAACGATTCATGGCTCGCCACTGAAGCGCCCCACCTCGTCGCTCCGTGCGAATCGAAAACCGAACCCTGTGACCGCCGCGCACGTCTCCATTCTGCTATACCCAGACCCCAGGGAGGATCTAGATCCCTTTAAAGGAACCCTAGATATTCCTTAACTAAGGGACATGCGAGTCCTTGGGTATATGACTATGGTTCTAGAAAGTAGATCCCCTAATTTGGGGCCCTATACTGCTTAGTACTTTATAGGAACCCCGATGAGGGTTCCTTTAAAGGGGTCCTTTAGTCCTTTAAGGGATCCTATAAGGGTAGTATACGGGTTAAATAGGGGCCTTGATAATTACCAATACTCTTTTGGGGTTGCTGATGATCAGTATATAGTAAGTATAATCAAGGGGCCCCAAAACACTATTTTAATTGCCCCTGCCTTAATTGTGTTTGGCTTTTGTTTAATTTTGAGTTGTCAACAAGACGCCAAAACCCCCTGTATGGACCTGGGCTTTTCGAATTTAGACTAGCGGGGGTCAGGATTTTAGATTTTTCAGGGTTCCAATGAGAGTTTAGGGTGCAAGGTTGCAGTCTTAAGGTTCAAAGTTTTTGTTTTGGGGCTTTGGGATGTTGGGATGAATGCAGTTCTTGTTTGTTTGAATTTGGGGTGGTTTATGGGTGTTCAACTACAGTACCGTCATGGGATAACGTAGTATTACAAGAGGTGCTTTGCGGCAGGGAAAGGCATAATTTAGAACAGCAACAACTAAGAAGTACTGCAAAGCTTGCCGCGATGGCCGAAACCCTAAACCCTGAACCCTAAACACTAAACCCTCAGGTGGTGACTCTCCTGTCACTTCGGCGATGTCTTCGGTTGGCTTTCTTCGGCAGCGCATCTTCGATGCCATCTCCCGTATGGACTAGCTTGGCCCATAATGGGACGATGCCAGAGGTTGAGCAAGTTCGTGTAGTTGATCGTGGTTGGATTGCTTCCAGATCCCGCACCTCGCGTTGTTCTGCAACGATATCTTTAATGATGCTCGATAACGCCAATGCCGCGCTTGGACGCTGAAGCCGGATCGAGACGTCTCGTGGGTCGCGGCAGGATGTGATTTCTGGTGAGACTACGGGCTGTGAGGTCTCGGAAATTACGTAGTTGAGGCATTGGCTTCCATGTTGGACTTCGAAAATGGTGCATCAATGCTCGGAAGCCAAACCCTGCACCTGTTCGATTCGTAGGTCCGCACACCGCTATGTCACTAGAAGTGCAGTTTAGCGTCTGTTTTGGTTCTGGGGTTGGGCTGAGAAATGTCGAAATTTCAAAGCAATGGGACGCATATAGAAGATCTCAAAGCGTCACCTAAAGCCTAAACCCTGAATTTCAGTTCCACCAACGTCCGGGCCGGGTCAGGGCAACAGGGTCTAGTGTTTTGAGGTTTGGCATTCAGGGTTTCGGGGTTTAGGGTTTTTGGGGTGTTAGAGGTTTAGGGTTTAGGGCTCCAACCTCAAGGAGCTGCCATATTTATATAGCAGGTGTTAATTCCATGGAAGCAGTGACTCAGTGACAGACTGTGGCAGAAGATACCTACCAAAATCACAGGGTATTGATCTAGGGTCTCGGACTTCGGTGATGATGTCGGATTTCTAATACTCCCTGAGACCACGACAGGGTCCCAACCTGCCGTCATCCGCAGCCGTGCGGTCACAGCCTGAACCCCCAACAAGCTGTAAAGCTCTGTTCCCTTAGCCTGCCAGAACCTACTGGATGGTAGGGTCCCTATAAATTCCATGCTAGGGCTTATAATAAGACCCTACAAAAAAGCAGGGAGTAAGTAGGGTTTGGTAGGTTAAGGTATCTAGGATCTCCACACCCGGGTTGTTTTTCATATTGTTGTGACAAGTGTAAGGGGAATCGCAAACGTCCGGTGTTTCCCTACACCCTCAGCCCTAAGCGCTAAGCCCGACGAAGCCCCAGGCACTATAAGCCTTAAGCCCTAAACCCTAAACCGTGTACTAGAAGAAGCCCTTAACCTTGTAATGGACACCTTAAACTACCAAACCCTACTTTTTTGTAGGTTCTTGTTATAAGCCCTAATATGGAAAATATAGGGACCCTACAAAAAAGTAGGTTTTGGGAGGTAATGGAAATTGATAGAAGAAGCTCTTAAACCTAGACCCTCCATCTACCCTCTATTAGACCCTACGTACCCACTATTTGGGACCATATGCCCCTATTTGAGGGTACAAGGAGGGTCCTTAAAGATCTCTCATTTCGGTTCCGGGAGACCCCCGGCGTGCGGCTTCGCTTCTGCGACCGAAGCCCGAAATCCTGACTGCGGTTTAAGGTTTAAGTGTATAGGGTTTAAAGGGATTCAGGTTTAGAGTTTCAGGTTTAGGGTTTCAGGTTTAGGGTTTATAAAGTTGGGGTTTTGCGTTTTAAATGCCTTGGGGCGGAAGCTTCCATGGCGCTGCTTTCGGGCTTCTGCGACCTGGCGCACATGCCGAAGACTTCCGCGGCCGCGAGGCATCGCGCCAGGCCGCATGGCAGGGACTGCCCCCCATTCCGTAACAGTTAGATAAGATCACATTTATGGCATAAATACAGTGTATTAATCTGATTTTACAGCCTTTTTGATAAGTAGGATCACGACTGAAACAGGAAAAGGATTGACAGCAGCAGCAACAAAGCGGAAGTAAGAGTAGCAGTAGGAGTAAAGGAGCAGTAGCTGCTGCTGCTGCTTCTACAACAACTGCTACTACCATTGCTCCTGCTACTACTACTACGACGACGACTACTACTACTGCTACTACTGCTGGGTGTAGGGTTTGGCGCAGCGGGATTGCGGTTCCAGGGGTTTTAGAGGTGGTGACGAAAGATCTGAGTAGTGATTTCAGGGTTTGCTGTAGGGTGTAGGGTTCATGAATCGAATGCCCTGCCCAACGCTGGCTAAATACACCTACGGGAATCCCAAACCTTAAACCATCCTTAAACCCAGACACTAAACCAAACCTTAAGCCTAAACCCTAAATCCTACACTAGGACCTACACCTTCAAACCTAAGCCCTAGATCATCCTAAATCCTTCTGTTTCTGTGCTTTCTTGCGGTCACGGGGAGGCTCGCCAGTCTTGTGATCACTGTGCTCGTGCCGCCGGGTCGTGATTGGTATCATATGGACTTGAGTAATTACCTGTCCTGCGCCTGACAGTTCGCGCATGCATCTTTACTAGTATTTACAAGTATAGTATATGTTCCGAATACTTTCTAGCTTCGTTCTGTTATGGCCCGGCCCCAATATAGCATGAGCCAGACCATTTCTCTGACTATACGTTTCGCAGAGGGCAGAATTCATCCAAGTTCGGGGAGCCGATACGAGCCTTCAACACCAGACCCTAAACCCTCAAGCCATAGGGGTTCTAAGCAATGACCAATATTATCCCTCAGGGTTCCTTATTATATTGAAGGGGCCCCAAATGTTATTCTAATTCTTCACCTATGTCCTAAACCCCGAAGTCTAAAGCTTAAAACCTCAAAACGCCAAGCCCTACAACCTAGACTAGACCCTAACCCTAAACCCTACCCTAAGGGTCCAGGTATCTCTTTAGGAGGGTCCGGAATGTCCTAGGGAGAGTCCTTGGGTCTCTTTGGGGTCTCAGAAATCCTACATTTTGAGGTTCCCCAATTTGCTAGGACCCTTAGCGTAGACGCTGGTTTATATCCGCTAGCAAGAGAAGCCAAGGATGCCGGTGCAAGCGGTGCTGGAAGTTGGTGTGCACTTCTCGAGTACGGTCCGACTTCTCCATCTTGTTCTGCTCCCCAGCGCTCTGTGCTTGGCCTGGCACTTCCGGTCCCAGTTGGACACTGGGCTGGGCTGTTGTGGATGAATTTACTTTAAGTTACCATCATAAGGAAACCTTACTGTAGATCCTTAATAGGAGCCGAAGGAGGAACTTTCTTTAAGATACCATCATAAGGAAGCCTTAGATCCTTAACAAGAGCCGAGGAAAGCAACATCCCCTTCATCTGGCACGATGCTCACGCAAGCAACTTGCTTCTGAGCCTTGGGCCGCGCCAGACCTGCCTTTCCTTTTTGCAGCAAGTCGTCGGGTCTCTATACCTGGCCCGGAACGCTTAGCCTTTCAAGCTTAAATGCATCCTTCGTGGTCTGGATGTCCCCCTTAAGGACTGCTATGTTCTACGTGATCGTTACATTCCATCTGCTTCCATTGCTTCTACGTGGGTCTGCGGAGGAACTCGTTGACAGCTTGGCTCTGAATGTTGCGGGGTACTTTACAGTTTACCTGCCGCTCCTGGAAAACGCATTCGTGCCCACTTGCTTGATCAGCGTCTACGGAGTCATCGCATCTGCTCTTTCTCTCAAGGCTGGTGCGCAGCTCACAACTGGAGTCTACATGCTGTTGAGCAAGCTTTCCTTAAGCGCAGCTGTGCTGTCCTCCGAGGGGGGGCTAATTAGTATGATGGGTCGGATCCTTTTGTGGCAATATTCGTACGTGAAGTCTGTCGTGCCACGTGCCCGTGATTGGGTGTAGGCTTCATGGTTTAGGGTTTAGGCTTAGGGCTCATAGGGTTGAGGGTTTAGGGTTCAGGTTCAGGCTTTAGGGTTTAGGTGGGGTTTAGAAGGTTTAGGATGAGGTCTTAAACCGAACCGTAAACCCAGCCCGAAGCCTCAAAACCAAAGCCCTCAATCCCTAAGCCCTAAGCCCCTAAGTTGCAGGAATGAGGCAGCAGGTGCTCGCCCAACCCATCTATGCCATGATCACTCGTCTGCTCGTCTTCAAGCTCGACTGGGCATCGCCTCTCCAAGAGATCCTTGAGGCTGCCGAGGGTAAGTCATAGGAGGCCAAAAGGGTTTTAGCCCATGGGGGTTCCGTAGGGATTGGGGTTCCCATAATAGGGCTCATATTAAGGAATCCCTACCCCAAGAATCTCAAACCCCCTTTCGGCCTCCCATCAGTAAGGGTTCGGCCTGCTTGGACCCCTGGGTTCCGCCTTAGGGCTTTTGGCGTCTAGGGTCTTTCGGTGGTTTCTTCATTTGTGTTTCAAGTTTTAACAAGACAGACCCAGGGAGCCCAAGGCTCATTGAATGAGGAAGAAGCCGTGAGCCGCAAGCTTTTGCCCTTGATACATTAAGCCAGCGCCGAAGCTCTCCATTGTAGTTCCTGTTTTGAGTTGTCTTATAAGACCTTGGATATGATGAACGTGGTTAAACCAAAAGGGAAGTACAATGGAGACCGTAAATACTCAAACGATCAATGGACCTAGTAACTAGGGTTATAAGCAATGTACCTATACTCATAATTACTTAGAGCTCCAAGCAAGGTGTTTATAACGTATATCCTTACTTCCCAAGTCCATGATCCTCCAAGAGTCCTGAATTAAAAGCCTACTCCGTAAACCATAAACCCCTAAATCCTAAAGCCGAACCCCAAACCCTAAACCCCTAAACCCCAAACCCTAAACCCCAAACCCTAAACCCCAAACCCTAAACCCCAAACCCTAAACCCCAAACCCTAAACCCCAAACCCTAAACCCCAAACCCGAAACCCTAAATCCCTAAACCCCAAACCCTAACCCCCAAACCCTAAACCCCCAAACCCTAAACCGCAAACCCTAAACCCCCAAACCCTAAACCCAAAATCCCAAAACCCTAGACCCGTAGACCCTAAACCCCCAGACCCTACAGGGTATCGGCTCTCTGTTAGCCCTTGTCTCTCCTCCAGGCGAGCCCCCAGCGGCGCAGAGAGGACTCAAGCCTACCTCAGTTTGAGGCTCTGGTCTTCCCCAAGCCCTGTTTAGGGTTTAGGGGTTTAGGGGTTTAGGGGCTAGGGGTTCAGGGGTTTAGGGGTTTAGGGGTTAGGGGTTAGGGGTTTAGGGGTTTAGGGTTTCGGGTTTAGGGTTTAGGGACGCTTAATATAGGAGCCTCTAATAATTGCCTATATATGCCATTTTGGGGGTTCCTTGTTATAGTTATAGTATAATAATTATTGTATGGCCTCAGTTTGAGGCGCTGATCGACATCGCTCGCAGCCGCGAAGGCCGTCAGAGCTTGCACAGGGTTCCTCAAATTTGTTTAGAAAAAATGCTTGGGCATTTATGTGGTCCGGGTTTTACGGTTTAGAGTTTCCTAGGTTGCGGTTTCGTGTAGCTTCTTATCTATTTCAGCTTTGGTATTGGTTCTTCGTGCGGCACGGTTTACGTATCGTTCAAGTTGTATTTTCGGGCCATCAAGACCAAATACAAATTCCCTGTGTAATATAGCCCCGGTTCTTGAGTGTGTCACAAGTCTGGACGAGCAAGGTCTTGCGCGTCTACAGGCTCAGGCAGGACAAGAAGGAAGCGCTAATCGCGGAGTTCGTCTGGATGTACCATGCCATGACCACCTGGCAGCTACCTCGATTCGCACTCCAGGCCATTATTCCCCCAACCCTAAACCCTAAAAAGCCCCAAGCTTTAGGTTTCCCCTAAATTAAACCTTATATCCAAGCCTTGAACCCTCTAGCCTCAAACTCATAAACAAGATGCCAACTCATAAAGGAACACAGAAAAACCTTGCCCCGAAAAAAGCATATAAAACCCCAATGGAACCGATCCCGAGAAGCCCTACCCTACATGCCCATACTGCGGTATATACCAGAGAAAAATCACTTAGGCCACCGTTCAGTTCTCGGATTCCTGAACCTTACAACTAGGCCATACCTTAACCCTGAAGAAGGACCTATATAAGGAAATCATAGTAGGGAACCCTAAAAAGGTAGGTTCTTCAGGCTTAAGGTAAGCCTTACAACCCAAAGCTGTTCGCCTGAAATCCAAAGCCCAGAATCCTTAACCCACGGCCCTAAACCCTAAGGCCAAAACCCCAAACCCTAAATCCCAAGCCCTAAACTGTAAACTCGATCCCTATAGTAACATTATATAAGTCCTAAAGCCTATAAAGTCCATCGTGTGCAGAGGCTATCTTCGAGTTCCTCGACTCCTCCGAATGCACTTTCCGAGCCTCACCGACCTTGATCGGCTCGGCGGCAGGTGTTTCAAGCATTGGAGGTGGGTTTAGACTTTTCGGGTTTAGGGTTTAAAGAGTCTTGGTTTGGGGTTTAAGGGTTTGGGGTTTAACGGATTACGGGTTTAGGGGTTTAGTGTTAAGGGGTGCAAAACGGCTCCAGGATTTTTAAATTAGAGTGTGTAATTATACGGTTTATGCAGGGTTTGCATAAGTTTTAGAAGGGTCGAAGAAGGGTTCCGTACGAGTTCCACAAGGGTTGTTCCACACATCCCGCTGCCGCTTACGGTTCAGGTTTTTCTTGAACAACTGGTGTTTTTGTTACCCAGGGTGTGCCATAACCCCTAGAACCCTTTTTGTTTGGGGCGGTCGACGGGTTTAGTATGGGCAAGTTACTTTCAAGAAAGCCTTCTGTTTCAGTCGCGACAGAATATTGGAGTACTGCAGAAGTTGCACTGAACTTTTCAGTGAAGGGAGCCAGAAGCCTAAGCCCTGATTTAGAGCAGCTGTCAGGTGGTAAATCGGCTATTTCTTCGGCAATGTCGTCGGTTGGGTTTCTTCGGCAGCGCATCTGCGATGCCATCTGCAACATGGACTAGGGACAATGCTTGCAGTAGCGCAAGTTCTTTGAGTTGATGCATGTTGTATTTTTCAGATCGCACTTGTCATCTTGCTCTAAAACGATTGGCCCTACAGCGCCAACGCCGCGCTTCGCCTCCGAAGCCGGGTCCAGACGTCTCACCAACGGCGGCAGCATGCGATTTCGGGAAAGGCTGCGTGCTGTGAGGAAGGGATTTAGGGATTTAGGGTTTAGGGTTATATATGGGGGATGAATAATCAGGATCCGATTCCTCCAGGGACTCTGTGGCCTTAGAGGTTGTGTAGTGAAGGTCATGGTTCTGTAAAATAGCGGCCTGAATGACTAACACTGTCTCTCTCCCTGCAGTGTGTCCAAAACCCTATTCCAGTTAATTCTTAAGGCGTCGATCGAATCCAATGTCCAGTTCTAAACCCGAAACGCTCACGTTCGCGGCTTGGGGCTTCATACAGCTTGATGTTGAATAAGTCATCATACCGTTTTCTATACTATACACAGCAGCGAGTCATTGACGCCCCTGCGGAATATAAAAAAGACTTTCAGAATTGGTCCCTGAAGCCCTAAACACCACCCCCGAAGTCCTAAGACCAAACATGGAGGCCTATCTTGGCGGCCCAAATACTTAGCGAGACTCTGCGTCAAGCTTTCCACAACATGCTATTGAGGAGTTTAGTCAGCCCCGAAAACCTAAACCTTAAAACGCTAAACCAAACCTGGTCGAATCAGGCCGCTAGGGTGTTAGAGTTTTAGGTTTTAGGGCTTTAGGGTTTTAGGGCTTAAGGGCTTAGGGTTTTAGGGTTTAGGGTTTAGGGGTTTGGGGTTTCGGGTTTTAGCCTTTTTCGGTATCCTAAACCCGAAGCCCTACACTGAGGCCATACCGTCCTGGTTCATCAAAGTCGAGGAGATGCGCGAGAAGCTGATCAAGAACAACAACCAGACGTGACCCAGCTTAGAGCGCTTTTTCAAGGACCCGCACGTGAAATCAGCCATGAGTCCCTAGGAGGGGTTCAAGGGATGCCATTCGTCATACCCGGGCCCGAAAAGAGCACTGCATGACTCAGTGCCTAAACCCTAAACCCTTAAACCTAAGCCCTAAACTCAGGGTTTGGGGAAAGAGGCCGTTACGGCTTTGGTTTTGGATCTTAAGCCCCTCAACCCTAAACCCTAACCGCCCAGCTGCAGGGTTTAGGATTTAGGCCTTTAGGTATTTCGAGGTTTAGGATTTGAGGCTCCCAAACTCATACTGAGTTCGGGGGCCTTCAGGAATTACAACAGGGGTTTGGGGTTTAGGGTTCAGGGTTTACCTTACAGGATACACGTCTGGGGTACATTTCCTGTGGCAACAGAATCTTATCGTCACCCTGAGAACAGAACCCTTTAAAGAAGACGCCTCAAAGTATCAACATCACTATCCTCGTGCCGTTACTGTATGGCAAAGCGGATCCCAGCACCAATAATCCTAAATCCATGCTCCGCCTTTCTGGATTCACCACAAAGGATGCCTTTACTTAGATAGCCCGTGGGAGAACTTTATATAAGCTTTTTGTATGTTCGTTCTATCTTAGAAGTCTTCGACTTTTTTGGAGCCCGGCTAGTCAAGAGAGGAAAGTTACCAGGATCCCTTCTCTAATTAGTCAGGTCCCAACCTTGGATGCCACCTAAACCCTAAACCCTAAAGCCCTATACCCTAAACCCTAAACCCCTAAACCCCTAAACCCTAAACCCTAAACCCCTAAACCCCTAAACCCTAAACCCTAAACCCCTAAACCCTAAACCCTAAACCTCTAAACCCCTAAACCCCTAAACCCCTAAAACCCTAAAACCCTAAACCCTAAACCCTAAACCCTAAACCCCTAAACCCTAACCCCTAAACCCCTAAACCCCTAAACCCTAAACCCTAAAACCCTAAAACCCTAAACCCTAAACCCTAAACC